ATCCAGTTGACACCATGGAATGATTGCATCACATATATCAAGCATGTCGCTATAGTGTTATGAGGTAAAACCAGGTTATTCCAGGTAACTGTTATACTGTTATCTGTCACTATGATGTTGCTGATGATTGGAGGTGCTAAGAGGGAAAACGTATATATTTGAGTAAATCGACTGCCGATGATTACAAATCACTTAATTAAAAGGTGATAACAACTGTTATCATTACTGTTATCAATTCAATTCAGTAAAGTATGGCTACTATGATAACGAGTTGGATGAAATTTTTGTGCTGCGTCTTTCTTTTTTCAGAACATAAAACTGTCTTTTAAAACACAAAGTATTTCTTCAATCATTGTGGATTGACAACGTGACTTACGTTCGTAGCTTTGGCTGATGTATATAAAGGCAATTGTCAATGCCTAGTTATCAATCATGTTCAGTCACGAGGATCAGTTGTTTTAAGATTCCTATATAGTTTCATTGTAAAGTTTTAAACATTTTAGGGGATCATCGATTTATGACTGATAAGAGGAGATGAGAAGACAGTTACGATAAGAGGATCAATGAGAGGACAATCAGTGGAAATCATCTAAAGATATTGAAAAGGAGGCGGGGGATGGTCTTGGCTCCGTGTGCGACCATTTACTTACATACTTACAAATCACAGTGAGTGTTATCATGGCGCTTTTCACTTCACACTCGTTACCAGTTTTAGCTCTGCATTCGTATGAACCTGAATCAGCATGTGTAACAGATGGTATAGTATATACACCTCTACTGGATACTTGACCACCTCCAACTTTATGCCAAGTCACATTGATGTCTTCACCCTGAGCTTCAACATTACAATAGAGAGTGAGACTCGATCCTTTGCGTATCTCCTGACTTGGAGTTGTGTTGACGATTATCGGTCTCACTTCGTTTATACAAAAAAAAAWATGCCAGGATAAGAAAATATTGATTGAAAAAAGATATGAACGTTTAACATGAAATATTATGAAATATTTTAGGTAMAACGTTACGTTTACGTTTTGATCAGAGTATCAAACACGGAAAATCCAGCTAAAATTGAACGTTTTACTCTATCGAAGCCAAAAWACAGAAAATTAAACTTACTTTCATAGCCAAGAGTTTCTTACCCTTAGTGCTTATCGTCACCGWTKCATTCTGTCCAGCTCCAACAGTGTTCTTTGGTTCACACTTGTATGTGTTATTACCTGCTTGTGGAACATTCAACTGATAGACTCCAGACATGTTGGTATGTACAAGCTGATCATTCAAGTAGAAGCGATATTCATGTGCTGGTGGATTGGCATTTGTTGTACATTGTAACGTAACTGTGTCATTAAGGCAGGCYTCACTCTTTGTGCTGGTCAGGGTTGTGAGTTCTGGTTTGTCTAGAATGGGAGATATAATGAGATGTTATCAAAAAGTATAAGTCTTGATTGTAACATACTCAAAATGTCTTGATAATGATATTATTTAGGGAATCTTTGTAATCATGTTGGCTGTATACTAGTACTTTCTGGCGTACATAAAAATAATTAATTAATGATGTTAATGGAAAATTCAATTTGAAATAATACTCGTGATACAAGCTCACAACTTCATTGCACATCATTGCCCGGTATTAATCTTCTATGAAGCAGGTTTTAATCAAGTAGAATTCATTCATATAATTTTTTTAATATCATATGTAACAGACAATTGTATAGTAAGACTTACAGTTTACAACAACATTTGCGTCAGCAGTGACATTGCTGCACTCATCGCCGTTGCTTGCTGTGCATCTGTAGAACCCCTCGTGTCCTCTTGTGACGCTACTTATGGTAAATGTCTCAGTACTACCAACAATGCTCCCACCAACCTTGGTCCACGTGATGACTGGTGCAGGTACTCC